TTCAGTTCTACGCTGTCCATGATGAGGCTACAATTTAATCACAACCATATAGTTTACAAACTCCCATGGGATAAAGAACTTGGAATAGACAGTACGCTTTATCATGTCGTGTATTAACAATAATGATAAGTCAGTAGAAGGTTGGTTGGTTGGTTGGTTGTTGTTTAACGCCGCACTCAGCAGTATTCTAGCTATAAGGCGGCGGTCTGCAAATAATCGAGTCCCGACCAGACAATCCAGTGATCAACAGCATGAGCATCGATCTACTCAATTGGTATACGATGACATATGTCAACCAAGTCAACGGGCCTGACCACTCGTATGCTTCACAGTTTCTGGGCGTATGCTTCACAGTTTCTGGGCGTATACTTCAGTTTCGGGAAGCATACTTCACAGTCTCTGGGTGAATACTTCACAGTTTCCGGAAGCATACTTCACGGTTTCCTGAAGCATACTTCACAGTTTCCGGAAGCATACTTCACAGTTTTTGGGCGTATGCTTCACAGTTTTTGGGCGTATGCTTCACAGTTTCTGGGCGTATACTTCACAGTTACTGGGCGTATACTTCAGTTTCTGGAAGCATACTTCACAGTCTCTGGGTGTATACTTCACAGTTTCCGGAAGCATACTTCACGGTTTCCTGAAGCATACTTCACAGTTTCCGGAAGCATACTTCACAGTTTCTGGGCGTATACTTCGATGTTTCTGGCTGCATAGTTCACATTTTCTGGGCGTATATACTTCACAGTTTCTTTCAGTTTTAGGCTCGCAGTGAGCGGCACTTTATTTGTCGACAATGCATGGTCATTATGACTCAGAGTATTAACCAAAGGAGTTTGGCCCTTAAGTATCAACTTAAGATGTTTTAAAAATGAATTTTCCATAGACACTTTGGATAAACCATTAATTTATTGACGCAACATTTTCGCTGAAGAACGTTCGCAGCATCGATATTTTATTTTTTGAAAGAGTTCTTGAACTAAGTATTTTTTGACAATTATTTTATAATCTATTTCAGCTTCACACGCCAACAATGGATTGAAACAATTTTTGTAATAACAGACCAGAACTTGCTTCGATATGCAGTTTTCAAGGTTGGTTTGTTTGATTGTTGTCTGAACGGCTGTTTTTTAATAGTTACATATACATATACTTGATCAGACACACCTTAGGCGTACGATCACGTACAATCAACCAAGTCAGCGAGCCCCAGCACCCGATTTGCCTATTCCGACAGAGATCCTCTACCCAGAGTTCCTTGCGCCCATTATAGTACCTCTGTCACAAACAGCGGCCATCTGGCGTTTCGTCATACCATACACAGTCGAATCAAGAAATTTCAAATGGTTTTCATTTGTTTTATTTGGGACGAATATACACATCTAAATAACACCTATGGTAGAACAGTTTATTTTCATTGAGAAAATGTTCTAGAATGTGATCTATTTCCATTTGCGTAGTTATCATTTGCTAACAGTGGTTATACGGCTCTGTGCGTAGTGATCGAAGCCACACGGACAGCAGCGAAACTGTCACTTTGATGTAAAATTTGTACTGTCATGCACCTCACTGTCGTTGTACATAGTAGCAGAAGTTCAATACTCTTGAAAAAAGAAGGGAAACCATCGAAGCCCCACATTCGGCAATATTCCATATGTAGAACGGCTGTTTTGATAGTTACATGTACGCGTCTGGATCACACACAGGAGTACGGTGACACACATTCAACCAAGTCTGACCACCCGATTTGACTCTTCCGACAGAGATCCTCTACCGAGTATAGTACCTCTGTCACAGGCAGCCGCCATCTGAATTTTCGTCATACCATACACAGTCGAATCAATATGCAAATGTTTTTCATTTGTTCTATTTTGGACGAATATACACATCTGAATAACACCCGTGGTTGAACAGTTTGCTTTCATTGAGAAAATGTTCTAAAATCTGGTATATTTCCATTGCGTAGTTATCATTTGCTAACAGTGGTTATACTGTTCTGTGCGTAGTGATCGAAGCCCCAAGGAGAGCGGCGATACGGTCAATTTGATGTGAAATATGTACTGTCATATACCTCAATGTCGGTGTAGTAGAAGAAATTTCAATACTCTTGAAAAAAGTAGGGGAACCTGAACAATATGTTTGGATAGGAAGTATAACCGTTAATAAACTTTTCAAAGACAGACATCTTATGAACGCACCACCATTTTTCTTTATCACCACCCCTAAACACAACGCATGGGATGCACGTGCACAACACAGTAGCCCCATACACGTGCATGGGGTGTCATTCTTGATTTTGACGGTTTTTAGAAGGTCGATAAATCACTGTAAACCATTTATTTTGACAATCATCTTGCATCTGTTGTTGGTGTTTGTTTCTCGTCGTTTCTTTTTGTTTTGTTTGAAAATGAAAATTTAACACATGCAAATTTCACGTTATACACCAATCATCATTCAAGAGCGATTACTGTACAAACAACTATGGTCATAAGGAAGTGCAAGTGGTGATGCCCTCCCAAAACATTCATTATTATCATATCAATATTTGATTGACTGCGACTGGGTTCTGTCCTTTTGTGCAACGTATTAACAATAACCAGGCCAGAATTTTTAGACCAACTCATTCAAATGGATATATAGATATTAATCAGTATTACTTGATACATCTAACTTGTGTATTGCAACACTACGCTCCTTCTAATCCTTGCAAACACGTCGTGCAGCGTGCTCTGTCGTACAGTGTGCTCTGACAAACGGAAATCTGGAAATCGTGGAAATCTCAAAACGCGGCTCGGCCACTAGAAAAGTTTAGCGGTCTGGTACGGATTTGATATTATATCAATCACATTGTCCGTTACAGAATTACATTGAATAAGCGCAAAAAACACGTAACAGGTGTAACCAGTGAGCCAGATGAATTGTGAATCATTTTACGACCTCATCAGACAGGGGCAGTCTGTTAAAGTCATGCTGCCTTAACATCGCCATAAAATATAGAAATACGATTTTGTTAAAGTTTAAAATTAAAATTCATTTGTAAATATAATTTTCATATGAAACAAGAAATTGGAATTTTGAGTTGAGTTAAGTTGAGTTGGGTTTTACGTCACATCGGCATTATTCCAGCCATATAGTGACGAGAACAAGTTTGCATTAATAAACATTGTAAGTACATACTCGGAATGAGTTTTATTTCAAAAGCATATATTCATTACATTGTCATTTAAAAACCGAAAAAGTCATAGCACCAAATTTAAAAGCAGGCAATTCGTTAGTGACATTACACAGTTACAAATTATGATACAGATCAACTTCCCTCAGGTAGTTCACTATCAGATGAGCGCTCACGCGGGAGAACAGATCTTTCAGATTTGTTGCATCATAATGTGAGTCCCTTAATGAATCTGTAAAAACGATGAAGTTTTTGGAGTGATTCTGCTGTTTAATGTAGGTCAATGCTGAGAAGATAGCTTTGGCCTCGGCAGTGAAAATGGAACTGTTGTCGGGAATCCCATAGTTGTTTGTAGTATTGCTTTTCACTTTCACACGAGAAAATTCGGATCGGCTGAAAAGTAGGTCATTGTCTGAATTGGTTCATGAGACTCATATTTCGGTTTGTTTTCAGTCGTTAATTAAAAATGAAGTTCACCTACTTTTTAAGAATATATGTAACTATGTCAAACAATATGAAGGGCGCACCGAAAGGCTTACATTAGACCAGTTTGTTCTGATAACAGAATATGTCTGTCCGTTTACAAACAAAAGAAAAGCCAAGTCACGTGCTTAAGTCATCAATGCGTTGGAGTGTATTTACGAACAGCACAGGTTGCTGGGAATCTCTTCTATCTGGTAGTCCCCAGGGAGGAATAAAAATTGATTATTTAACTGGGTACAATATGTTCAACTGTCTACTGTTGTGTTAGATTTAGCAGGAGGATTAAATTAGCGGGGTTATTAGTTTCACAGCACGTCTCATGTCAGTGAAGATATGACGGGTTAAACACACTGTTGCTATCCGGTGTTGATAAAACGGTAAACAAATTGAAGTCTGTTTGGCTGCATGGTTACAAATCCAAGGCAGGGTGTATCTGCAGCCTTTATGATAACAAACCTGATATTTATAGTACATAAGAGTTCCTGCCCGACGTTGAAGTGTCATCATTAGAAAACGTATAGTCTCTTTGGGTCAAAATGATACCGATGAATCACAATCTAACTCCAAATTGGTTTATAATCAAACATTCATTTTAACGCAGAATGTAATGAAAACATCAGATCAACTCTGGAAAAAGTTTCATCACGTTTGTCTCCAAAATATAAAAGTTACTTAACAAAGTATCATCATTTTGTTTCAATTTTCCGTGTGAAGTTTTACGAGGGTAAAGTAACAGTAGTACTATTGCAGGAACAGCCTCAAGGGCGGGAAGCACGTGCTCTTGTGACATCACATCATGCATAGCCAATCGATTTCTTGATACAGTGCATGAGAAGCTTCACACATTGAAATGAGCTTCACACATTGTACCTATGTGTGGAATCGAAAGACGGGTCTTAGGCGTGACGAACAAATGCTTTAACCCTTTAAAGGGACATCCAGAAGCTTATTTTATTGAACTTTCAACGTGACCACTGTGGCGTTGGGACACATATACCCTCTAAGCCGAGGTCAGCTTACTAATCCACATGGATTCGAACGACGGACCTCCTGATCCTATGTCTGACGCTTCGTCTATATAACTTAAAGGCTAACCCGTATGCAAACAGACAAGGCAGGAGTGTCATCTGAAAGAGAGCCCGCGCCCTGCTATATTCTATCATTGAATCAGTCACAATATATATTGTAAAACGTTTCTTTTACATTTTAAACAATCTTCCCTGTCGTTTGTTTCAGGTTAAAGCTTGTCCTCGTACTGTGCCTGGCTTGCTTTGTGTTTGTACGCGACCTTCTACCAACTGCACCATACCTTCCAAGGAAGCCCGAAGTTAGGGTTGCGCCAAGGATGGCTTCTATCACCATTGTGAGGACGGAACTACAACACAACATCACACAGCAACAATGCAACACAAATCTCGCCACGTCATCGCAACCAATCCGGGGAAATACTGCAGAAAAAACACACGTTGCTTTCCTAAAAGTTCATAAAAGCGCAAGTTCTACACTATTCAACATATTTTACAGGTTTGGGCAACAAAGACATTTAACATTCGTCATTCCTCGAGAAGGACATATCATCGGGCGATATACGGCCATGCGGAAAAGAAAACTATTTCCACCTCCAGGGAATAAGACATTTGATATTGCTTGCCTTCATTCTGTTTTCGAGAAGGAAGTTTACGAAGCCTATCTTCCAAAAGACACAGTATACATCGCTATAATACGTGAACCATTAAAACGTCTTGTGTCTGCATTCTGGTACTACCTCACTCTGTATAAAACTCCTTATCTAAAGCAGATACCAGGACCCGATCCGTTGAGCACATTCCTACTGGAGCCATCTAAATACGAAAACCAGGATGTCTATTACTCTCACACCAACAACACAATGGCTCTTGACTTTGGTTTTCCTCCCGAACATTTCGGCAACATATTTTACTTCAAGCAGTATCTCTCGTTGCTTGAATCTAGATTCGACCTCATCCTGGATGCGGATCTTTTCCCGGAGTCCATTATTCTTATGAAGCGGAAACTGAACTGGAGCCTCAAGGACGTTCTGTATATATCACAAAACAAACTAAATAAGAAGCCTGTTCATTTGACACACTTGCTAAAAACAAAAGCAAAAGAGTTCTTACATTTGGATTATATGCTTTATGACTATTTTTCAAGACGGCTTCGGGAGGAGATTAAAAACCAAGACACGACTTTTAATGACGAAGTGGAGAACCTTCGCCACGTTCAGCGATATGTGACAAGGTTCTGTGCCGCTAGTGGGTCACGTGAGATGGGTAAAATCCTCGTTGTGGCTGCTACAAGGTGGAATCGCGAATTTAGGGTACACTTCTGTGACTGCAGTTATATGATGCAGAAGGAGATTCCAGCTGTCCAGATGATGAAGGAGAGCATCAAAGCTCGACTCGAGAAGCAGAGACCAAATACTTTCTACTACCTTAAACTGCCCATGTAACGGCTCGCTCAAAGTTGCACTAGTGTTGCAGAATTTAATGATCGTGGGTTCGAATCTCCTTTTGGTTGATGATAATGTTTCATGGTTTATCAGCATGCAGCATACCTTGTACCCGTGGGTTTGAACTATATAGTTCATATCTAATACTTGTATCACTTTGATCTTTCTTGCCAAATTTACATGACGCTTTGATCTTACTCCCACTTTCAGCCGACACTTTGATGTACTCCACTTTCATCTCACACTTTGATCTTACTGCCACTTTAAGCTGACACTTTGATTTTACTTCCACTTTCATCTGACACTTTGATCTTACTCCGACTTTCAGCCAACACTTTGATCTTACTTCCACTTTCATCTGACACTTTGACCTAACTCCCACTTTCAGCCGACAATTTGATCTTACTCCCACTTTCATCTGACACTTTGATCTTACTCCCACTTTCATCTGACACTTTGATCTTACTTTCCCACTTTCATCTGACACTTTGATCTTACTCCCACTTTCATCTGACACTTTGATCTTACTCCCACTTTCATCTGACACTATTATCTTACTCTCCCTTTCATCTGACACTTTGATCTTTCTTGCCATATTAGATGACACTTTGATTTTACTCCATCTTTTAGCTGATACTGTGATCTTGATCACAGAACATGTCATCGTATCTCAATTGCGTAGATCGATGCTCATGTTGTTGATTACCAGATTGCATGGTCTAGACTTGATTACTTTACAGACTGCCGGCAGTGGTTAAAGTGGTTAGACCTGGGTTCGATTCTCCGCATGGGTGCAAGGTGTGAAGCCCATGTCTGGTATCCCCGCCGTGATATTGCTGGAATGGTGCTAAAAGCGGCGTAAACCCATACACACACACTCACTCATTCTTGATAACACAACACCACGTGATATGTGCAACCAGTCACCCATACAAGACAACAATCCCGACTACATATATATTTATTCTGCGAATGTGGCTGTGGTGACTCGATTAGTTACAAACCGCCCCCATTTAGCTGGAACATTGCTGAGTAACACACAAACTAGATATTCATGATTACAATGCATTAATGTCTATATATAAGAAAATACTCTTCACATCGTGAAGCAACGGTGAATCGTTCTTGAGTAAGAATTAGACCATTCCCAAATTCGTGTCCTATGTAAGTCAGGCCTTCAGCATTCTGAGTAGACAATTATTGAAGAGGTACGGTGTGGTTTAAACATATTTTTATTTCAAGAGAAATCTGGATCGGTAAAAAAGCAAAACATATGTAAATACCTGTCCAGGTAATGAGTTAACACAGCTGGTAATACGTTTTACAAGGTGGCGCTAAACATAATGTACAGTTGCACGAACGGAATATAAATTCATAAAGCCAGTATTTTGGAGTCATTGGTGTCTGTGGAAAAATATAAAGATGCAGTTATTCTTTCGTCATGAATTTAAAATTAAGGTGCAGTGTGTGTACACACATTAGCCTAGTCTGTCACACAAACCCTCAAACAAAAAAGAAAGCCCATGCAAGTCCCTGAAACGAATATATACAAGAAAGAGGTCGATGTTCGTGATGTCAATCCCTGAATTATCTAGGCCCGACAGCCATATAGCCTGAGTGAGTGAGTTTTGGTTTTTCGCCGCTTTTAGATATATTCCAGCAATATCACTGCGGGGGGACAACAGTAATAGGCTTCAAACATTGTACCCATGAGGGGAATCGTTAGTTGCCTTTGGGTTGCTGAAGACCATTTCTAGTCCAGAAGCTGAAGACTGAAAACCGTTAGTACATGCCTGACGTTGGAAATGCAAAAGGATTGTTAATTGATTAATCCTCGAGGATTCCGGGTGCTTGTGACAGGTAACGGTCATCAGACTCGATGGTTTGGTTAACTGAGTCATCTTACCTGACCTTGACGGTAAGATCAGACACTGGACATTGGAGGCGGCGTTGGACAAGACGCGTACAACGTTGACTCTTCTGTATTTTTCAAAATATTTTATACTCAAATTCAACCAATTCTGTTGTATGGTGCCGAACTGTGGGGTAATAATGAATTCCATAAGATTGAAAATGTACATTTAACTGCATGTAACAGATGTTTAAATGTTGGTCCTCAAACACCAAATATAATTGTTTTTATGGTGAATGTGAACATTACATAAATGCATAATGGCGTTTTATAATATACTGGCTTAAACTTGTAAATATTCATCAAACAAGAATTCAAAAAAAAGCTTATGATATGTTAATGTATTATGATAATTGTGGTTATGATAACTATATGTTTCATATGTACGTAATTTATCGTTTTCATATGGATTTGGTTGTTTAGTTATTTCAAGGCGTCGGTAATGAATTCCAGTTTCTCCAGATATTTAAAAGAGTTGCAGTTGACATTTATATACAGACATGGAATAGTACAATTGAAGAAAGTTCAAGGTATAAGATGTACAGACAATATAAAAGCTTTTTAGAACCAGAAAAATATTTAACTTTGTTAACAAATAAAAAACAAAGAAATATTCTTACTAGGATCAGAGCGGGAAGTTTAAAATTAACGGTTGATGAGGGACGGTGGTTGGGAGTTTTTTGCCCCATATGTAATAAAGGAATAGAAGATGAATTTCATTATTATATTTATATGTGAATGTTATAATAATCTAAGAAACTGTTATTGGTCAGTTCCTACTTAAGGTGTATAAACTTAGAATTGCCCTTACTTGTGAAATAGGTGTGTGACATGTAAATCCATATGCATGACAACTCTTGCAGGGAATAATTCATGGACTCTACTGTGTATTTATGCGCAGATTGTGAAAGGTAATACATGACTGTATTTTGGGCCAATGGCCTTGGTACTGGAATAAAATGTCTGTCTGTCTGCCTGTCTGTTATTTACCACAAATGTACAACGACAATCCGTCCACTTATCAATTTCAACAATTGTTATCTTCTACATCAACGGAATTATTAAATAATCTTTGTAATTACGAAATAAAAGACTTGAATAGAAATCGCCAACACAACATAGCTAAACGTAGAAATCAAGATAATGATTGGATGAAATTTAGAAAACTTAGAAATAAAGTAACATCAGCTGTAAGAAAAGCTTAATCAGATTATTATTCTAAACTTGATGATGACTTAAATAACAGTAAAAATTCCAGATTGTGGTTGAAATTAGTTAACAATTACCTGGAAAAGAGAAGTAATGACAATAAAGACACTTTTCCCCCTCTACATCACAATGGTGTCATTTATGAAGACGCAAACGAGAAGGCAAACATACTTAACGACTACTTTATTGACCAAGCTAAAATATACTTCCTAGACAAACAGCTACCAGATGTAGAATATAGAAATGAAAATTCATTAAGTGAAATTGTTTTGAAGCGAAATAAAGTTAAAGATATTCTTTTATCAGTTGACATAAGCAAGGCAATTGGTCCTGACAAAATAAGCAATAAGTTTATCAAGCTAACCGCAGAATCACTTTCTTTGCCCCTCACCTATTTATTTAATAAGTCATTGCATGAATGTATTTTCCCTGGAAAAGAGGCTTCAGTATTTCCTTTGCATGAGAAGGGTAGTGTAAATGAATGTCACAATTACAGGCCCATTGCGCCAACAAGCTGTATTAGGAAGATATTTGATAAATGCGTATTCAAATATATTTATCAAACTTTTTTCGGGACAATAATATCTTAACAAGTTTGCAATCAGGATTTATGCTAGGAGATTGTACTGCTTATCAACTTACATATCTATATGACTTTATAGCAAATGCTGTAGATAACGGACAAGAAGTAAAAGCCTTTTTTTGTGATATTAGTAAAGCATTTGACAAAGTATGGCAATTAGAGGCTTATGGAATGCGTGGTAGTTGGTTTAAATATATTTCTATTCATGAAAGAATCTGGTTTGGTAAACAAGCAAAGCTTTGCTTTTGTGAATACCTCACCAGTACAAATAGAACACAAATACAACACACAAAAACTAGACAAAAGAGACAAAATGAAATAAACTAAAATCGTAACATCGTATGTGCATTGAAAATTCTAATTAACCGTTGTTACTTGCAGTTACTTTTCATTATCTTGTTAAGGTAATTGTTATATATTATTTGGTTTAGGCTGTTTTATCGACAACTACATGGTAGTTTAATTGAATGGTTTTGCAGTTACCCTAGAAATAGATCTAGAGTACAAAGAGTAGTTATAGACGGCCGATCATCAGATAAAAACATATATCGGCAGGTGTCCCCCAGGGATCAGTCTTAGGGCCGCTACTGTTCTTAGTATACATCCACGATACTGTACATGGTATCAACAGCAATATTCGATTATTTGCTGATGACACATCAGTGTATATAGTTGTAGAAAATACAGACAAAGCTGCAAGAAGTTTGAATAATGACTTAAATCGTATTTCTGATTGGGCCGATATATGTTGCAAGTAAATCTTAATCCAACAAAAACTGAAACGATTTTATTCTCCCGCAAAGTAATTCCCTCTGTATGTTTACCCATAGAAATGAAAGGAACTCAAGTAAATGAAGTTCATTTCCATAAACAATTAGGTCTTTATCTTCAAAAAGATTGTTATTGGAAAAAACAAATTGAAGAAAATTAATAGTAAATGTTGTAAGTCCTATGGTAAACTGTTTAAGAAGCTTTAAATATAGATTAACTAGACATACATTAGAATGTATATAGAACGTATATATGGAATACAACTTCTTTTTTTCTAGAGCACGACGTGAAAACGATACAAGGACCTGTATCGAAACGTCATTCATACTTGAAAACGATACAAGAACCTGTATCGAAACGTCGTGCTCTAGAATAAAAGAAGTTGTCATCCATATATACTTGTTCTATCTGACTTCCAACTTCTAAAATGCCACTCAAAGCAATCATTAGAATGTATGTATACCTATTATATACTACCACACTTCGATAATTGTTGTCACATATGGGACAACGTTAACTGTACCA